GGCCTCGGACGGAGGCGGGGGCCGAATCGCCGAGGCGGTGGGAGCGCGGGGAGCGGAGGAGGCGGGACGCTGGCGCACGGTGACAGCCCGGAGCTGCCTCGCGCCTCCCTGCGCGCGCCGTCGCAGCAGCGCGGGGCGACGTGTGCGTGCGTCGCGCAGCGTGTGCGTCATCAGCCGGCGCCCGGATGCGAGGAGCATGGGGTCGTCCGGCCTCGACTCCCCCGGCGGCCCCAGGTCCTGGGGCATACCCACGCCCGGGGCGACGCCCGCCCCCGACAGGGTCCCCTCGGGCCGCCTCTGGGGCTGGTCTCGGCTCACGAGACCCACCCGGAGCCTTGCGATCTTCGGGAGGTTCTCCTTGGGGACGCAGGTGAGCAGCTTTCGGGCGAGGGCGCTGGTCCGGAGCGGGCCCGAGCGCAGGGCACAGTCTCACGGGCTCCATTATCAACTTGCGGTATTCTGGCCCTCCTCGCTGCAGAGACCTCCCGAGGACTGTGACCGGGACGGTCCCACGCCGCACCATTTGTGCTGACGCCCGCTGGGGTCCAGCGCGAGGACCGTCTGCGTCGCGGCATGAGAGTGACAGCCACCGACTGGGGCGTACCCCATCTGCTAGGCCGCCTTAGTTCAGTCCTGCCCTCCAGAAATATAACGCGAGCCACATGCGTAGTCTTAAATTTTACACTGGATACTTCTCTAAAAGCGGAATAAACTGGTGAAATGTAATCAATCATTTCACTAATTATTCGTGAGGTATTTAACATTCCTTGTTTTCGGTACCACGTCTTCAAAATGTGATGTGTCTTTTATAGGAAGTCTATTCGGATACTGAATTTACATCGGAAATGTCTGATCCGTACTTAGATTCATTACATTTGTCTTATCATCAAAAAACAGTTGAAAAAGTGGATTCGCATACTTGTTATTGCAAGCATAAGAACTTTCCACAAATTGAATCAAGTATCTAATTTTAAATTTAAATTTTATTAAGTATAAGAAGCAGCAGCAGCCTATCAGCCGCACTAGCCGTATTTTACACACTCGGTAGCCATGTGGCGGTGATTTGGCACTTGCTGTCACCATGAGTCTGGTATTTGGCCCATAGGGTAGTTGTACCTATTCAGAAGGAGGCCAAGGCCAGGGTCAGGAGTTTCCTGGATGCCACGCGGGATTTTGCAGTTTTAGAGTCAGAAATTGAGACCTTCCTCCCTCACAACTTAAGTATAAAGTGCTTGCAAAGACTTGTCTGGAAGTGTCATCCTTTGCAAACAAACTTGAAAATTATTAAAACAAAGTAACTGCTTTTTGTGTGCATGTGTGTGAATGTTCTTTTAGTGAAATTGACAGCAACCAAATGATACCAATTTTATAAGTCTGCACATAGAGAGGTGGTGGGTATTTGGAAAGAGATCTGTGCTCAATGAATATCTTTTTGATTCTTTAGAGAAAGGGAACTATTCTAAGTTCACATCAGTAACCACCAGGAGAGCAGTTTAAAACAGATGGGACAGGGGAAGCCCAGAAAAAGAAAAAGGAATCTGCTTAAAACCGGGTATTCACTGGAAGAGGTGAAATGACTTCTTAAACCTATACTTCCCTCCAGTTTTTGGTGGTGTTTTTCATTGTTGTTTTTCCACAGGATATATTTGCTGAAAACTTTCCAGACTGTTCTTAATGCCTGTTAAAGGATGGTCCCCATTTGTTTTCATGTTTGTTTGTTGAGTTGGAGTCTCACTCTGTTACCCAGGTTGGAGTGCAGGAGCACGCTCACAGCCACCCCAGCATCAACCTGCTGGGCTCAGGCAATCCTTTTGCTTCATCCTTCCAAGTAGCTGGAACTACAGGTGTGCACTACCACACCCGGCTAATTTTTTTTATTTATTATAGAGACAAGGTCTCACCATGTTACCCAGGCTGGTCTCGAACCCGTGGGCTCAGGCAATCTTCTCACCTTGGCCTCCCAAAGTGCTGGGATTACAGACTTGAGCCACTGCACCCGGCCTGACAGTCCCTATTTATAATACTTCTAACCTGTACATTCTAGCTTGGCTGGTTTCGAGTTCTCCTCTGCTCAGTCTTAACCTTATGTGACTGCCAGGTGAATCTTGATGTAATGTTACCCTCAAAGTTACTCAGGTACTAAAAAGTGTTTAGTGCCTCTCTGCTGCCTGCTCACAGTTGCTTTTTCTAAAATGTAAAATGCAGTGATTTTAAGTATTGGGACATGAGAGCAATTTTGTCCAATTTTGATGCAATAAGACATTAAACTTACATGTTAATACTTATGTGATCCTCAAACCAAAAATGAAATAATTTGTAGAAAAATCATACTTAGAAGGTGAATTAAACAGCAGGAATTATGAAATGCAGAAAGGTTTAACATATTTTATGTTACAAATAATATTAAAGATTGAACCTAAGTGAACTTTTAAATAAAATTTTTTTGTTTATTTTTTTGAGTTGAGATCTCACTCTGTCACCCAGGCTGGAGTGCAGTGGCACTATCACAGCTCACCAAATCCTAGACCTACTGGACTCAGGTGATCAAACCCCCTTCAGCTTCCAAGTAGCTGGGACTACAGGTGCATGCCACCACACGGGGCTAATTTTTTTTTTTAATTTTGTAGAGATGAGGTCTCGCTATGTTACCTAGGCTGGTCTCTAACCCCTGGGCTCAAGCCACAGGCAGTCCTCCTGCCTCAGCCTCCCAAAGTGCTGGGATTATAGGTGTGAGCTACCCAGCCCAGCCTATGAATACAAGATCAAATAATAATTGTGTCAGTCTGGATTCTACCTGAGAAACAAATACTAAGATACATCTATACCCAGAAAGAGAGAGACATCTCGAGGAATTTGTATATGATTGTGGGGTCTGGCTAGGCTAGGCTGAAATATACAGGGCAGGCCATAGCAGCAGACAGGAAGCTCTTTGGCTGGAACTGACACTGATGTCCACAGACAGCTGCTGCTTCCTCAGGGAAACAGATTTGATCTTAAACACTTTCACTGCCTGGTCGAGACCAACCCAGATAACTTCCTCTATTTAAAGCAGTTGGTCAAGTGTGGTGGCTTACACCTGTAATCCCAGCACTTTGGGAGACCAAAGCAGGAGAATCCCTTAAAGCCAGGAGTTTGAGTCCAGCCTGGGTAACGTGCGTGCCACTGCATTCCAGCCTAGGAGACAGAGTGAGACTCCATCTCTGGAAAAGAAAAAAATTTTTTTAATGATCCAGGCTTGGTGGTTTGAGCCTGCAGTCCCAGATACTTAGGGGGCTGAGGTGGGAGGATCCCTAGAGGCCAGGAGTTTGAGGCTGCCGTGGCATGATCATAGCACTGCACTCCAACCTGGGTGGAGACCTCATCTCTAAATAATGTAATTTTTTTTTAGTCGGAGTCTCACTCTGTCTCCCAGGCTGGAAAGCAGTGGCATGATGGGCTCAGGCAATCCTTCCATCTCAACCTTTCAAGTAGCTGAAGCCACAGGCGTGCGCTACCATACCCAGCTAGTTTATTTTTTACTTATTGTAGAGATGAGGTCTCACCATGTTGCTCAGGCTGGTCTCGAAGTCCTGAGCCCAGGCTAAAATAATTTTTTAAAAGTATTTTGCTGGGCTCGGTGGCTCAGCCTGTAATCCCGCGCCTTTGGGAGGCTGAGGTGAGTGGATTGCCTGAGCCCACGGGTTCGAGACCTGCCTGGGCAGTGAGACCTCATCTCTACAATAAATCAAAAGATCAGCCAGGCGTGGTAGCGCATGCCTGTAATTCCGGCTACTCGGAAGGCTGAGGTGGAAGGATCGCTGGAGCCCAGCAAGTGAGGCTGCGGTGGCCGGGAGCGGCCACTGCACTCCAGTCTGGGTGACCGAGTGAGACTCCAACTCAAAAAAAAAAAAAAGTATTTTTATTGATGCCTATTTGTATATGTGTATTGGGCACATGTGATATTTGCTACATGCATGGAATGTGTGAGGGTATTTAGGGTGTCCATTACCATGATCATTTGTCAGTCCTGGGTGTTGGGAATGGTTCAAATCCTCTCTTCCAGCTATTCTGAAACACATGCTACCTTCTTGTTAGCTGTAGCCACCTCCTCTACTCCCAAATACCAGAATATGTTTCTTTCGTCTACCTGTATGCTTGCATCCAGAGTCTGGGAAGGATAGTGGGGGCGGCTTCTCTTTACTGCCCCCACTATCCTTCCCAGACTCTGGTAACCATCAGTCTTGTCTTTCTCCATGTGAAGTTGAGAGTAACCTTTCCTCTCTCTGCCTCCGTGAGGTCAACTTGCTTAGCTCCCACATAGGAGTGAGCGCATTGTGATACTTGCTTGTCTGTGTCTGGCTCACTTAACATAAAGGTCTCCAGTTCCATCCTTGTTGCTGTAAATGACAGGATTTCATGATTTTTTTACGGCTGAATAATATACCATTATGTAAATATAATACTTTTTTTTTGAGTCAAAGTCTCTGTCACCCAGGCTGGAATGCAGTGGCACACTCATAGCTACCACAGCTTTGACCCACTGGGCTCAAGTGAATCTTCTACCTCAGCCTTCCAAGGAGCTGGAACTACAAGTGCACACCACCATGCCCGGCTAATTTTTTTTATTTATTATAGAGACGAGATCTTGCCAAGTTGCCCTGGCTGATCTCAAATCCCTGGGCTCAAGCAGTCCTCCTACTTTGGTCTCCCAGAGTGTTGGGATTACTGTGGGAACCACTACGCTTGGCCAGATGCTAAACTTTCTAACTGGGGGAAGTGACCTAGTAATTGACCACAGATTAGCTACAACAAAAATAGATGTTAAGTAAAAATTCATATGCAAATGAACACCGAAGTTATGATTAAAATGATGATTGGAGGACTCAGGGAAGAGCTTTGTAGAAGACGCAGTGTTGACATCAAGGGAACAGGGAAAGGAACGTTTGGAGCTTTAGTACCAAGAGAAAGCATGGAGCTGTGAACATGGACAGAGACTTTGGAACTCATGAACAGGCCAGCATGGCTGAGAGTACAACTGGGAGAAACAGAACACGAGGCAGAAAAAGTATTTTGGGGCCAAAATGTGAATGCTGGAAATGCCATTATTATTCTGAAAGGGAATGGAGAGACTTGTGAAACTTCTGGAATGGGACAAAGAACCTGCACTTCAGGAAAACAGTTCCACTTACAATAGCACCAAAAGGAACAAAGCTCTTAGGAATAAGCTTACCCAAGGGGAAAAGGACTTGTACATTGAAAACTATAAAACATTGCTGAAAGAAATTAAATGTTTACATGGAAGTACACCTGTGTTCCTGGGTTGGAAGACTTAATGTTGTTAAGATAATAGTACTCAAAGTGATCTACAGATTCAAAGGAATCCCTAGTCAAACTCCAAGTGCCACTCTGCAGAAAATGGAAAACCCATCTTAAAATTTGTACAGACGCCCCAGGGACCCCCAATAGCTAAAAACCGTCTTGAAAAAGAGTAGAGTTGGAGGGCTCTTTATTCCCAATCTTACTACAAAGCTATAGTCATTTAAACAGTGTGGTGCTGGCATAGCGACAGACGTCTAGACCAGTGGAATGGAATAAAAAGCCCCAACTAGAATCTCACACATATGATCAGGTGATTTTCACCAGTGATGCCAAGACCATTTATTCAGTGGGAAAGAGGACAGTTTTTGCAGCAAATGGTGCTGGGAAAGTGAGTTTCCAAAGGTAGAAGGAACAAAGTTGGATCCTTCTTTTAGGCCACATACACACATTCACTCCAAATGGGCCAGGGACCTAAATGCAAGTGCTGAAACTAAAACTCTCAGAATGAAACTGGCAAGGGCTCCGTGACATTGGATTTGGCAGTGATTTATCAGACATGACACCAAAAGCACAGACAGCAGGAGCAGAGAAATATACAGGATTTCATCAGAATTAAATGTATGTGCATAAAAGCATACTCAGAAGAGGGAGCAGGCAACCCATAGGGTGAAAGGAAATCTTCACAAATTATACATCTGATACGGGATTAATATCCAGAATATATTTTTTAAAACTCCTACAACTCAGTCAGGCTTGGTAGCGCACACCTGTTGCCCCAGCACTTGGGGAAGCTTGAGCCCAGGAGTTCAAGATCAGCCTGGGGAACATAGCAAGACCATGTCTCTACAAAAAATAAAAATTATCCAGGCTTGGTGGTGCACGCTACAACATGAATGACCTTGAAAACATGCTACCCAGCTACTCAGGAGCTGAGGTGGGAAAATCACCTGAGCCCAACAAGTCAAGGCTGCTGTGGGTTGTAATTGTGCCACTGCACTCCAGACTGGGCGACAGAGTGATCCCCTGACAAAAAACCAAAACAAAACTATAACTCAACAAAAAAACTAACAAACTGATTTTAAAAACAGATAAAGGACCTGAATAGACTCTCCAAAGAAGATGACAAATGGCCAGCCATCACATGAGAAGGTGCTCAACATCACCAGTCACTGGGGAAACGTAAATCAAAGCCACAGGGAGACATCACTTCACACCCATTAGAGGACTATTATGCTAAAAAAAAATATTGGCCAGGATGTAATGCAATTGGAATTCTTTGCATTGTCAGTGAAAACAGAAAATGGTACAGCTGTTAGGAAAACCAGGTTGGCAGCTTCTCAAAGAACAAAACAGAGGGCTTCCATATGATCCAGCAATCCTGCTTCTAGGCATATACCCAAATAAGTTGAAAGCAAGGACTCAAACAGATGTTTGTATACCCATGTTCATAGCAGCATTATTTACAATAGCCACCAGGTAGAAACAGCCCGAGGGTCCATGGAATGGATAAACAATATTCACTGTAATATACACATGGGATACACACACACACACATACACACACACACACACACACACACACACATACATGTTTATATACACACAATGAAGTATTATTCAGCCTTAAAGAAGGAAATTCTGACTAACACTACAACATGAATGACCTTGAAAACATGTTAAGTGAAATAAACCAGACCCAAAAGAATAAACACTATTGATTCCACTTATATGAGGTACTTAGAATAGTGAAATTTATAGAGATGAGAAGTAGTGTGGTGGTTACCGGGGGATGGAGGAGGGAGGAGAGTAGTTTTTCAGTGGGTATGGAGACTCAGTGTGTGATAAGACATACTGACAATGGATAGGGGTGACAGTTGTGCAACAGTGTGAATGTACTTAGTGCCACTAAATTATGCACTTAAAAATGATGAAAAAGAGCCAGGCATAGTGACTCAGACTGCAATCCCAGCACTTTGGGAGGCCGAGGTGGGAGGATTGCTTGAGCCCAGGAGTTCAAGACCAGACTGGGCAACATAGTGAGACCTCATCTCTTTAAAAAAAAAAAAAAATTAGCCAGGCATAGTAGTATGTGCCTGTATTCCCAGCTGCTCAGGAGGCTAAGGTGGGAGGATCCCCTGAACCCAGGAGGTGGAGGCTGCAGTGAGTCATGATCATTCCACTGCACTCCAGCCTGGGCAATAGAGTGAGACCCCGACTCACCAAAAAGAAAAAAGAAAAAAAAGTGGTGAAAATGTATGTAAGCTGAACAAATTGAAAGATCTAACATGCAGCATGATGCTAGTCACTAGTATTCAGGACATTTACTGTGTGAGTAGATTATAGCTGCTCTTGCCACAGGGATGGGGGGAACAGGTGACTGTGATGATGTTATGCTAATTTGCTTCACTATAGTAACCATTTTACTATGTATGTATCTTATAGAATGATGTTGTATGCCTTAAATATACAAATTTATTCTGAAAAGCAATCTGTAATTAAAAATAAAAATAGGCTGGGCTTGGTGGCTCAGCCTGTAATCCCAGCAGTTTGGGAGACCAAGGCGAGTGGATTACCTGAGCCCACGGGTTCGAGACCCACCCGGGCAACTTGGTGAGACCTCATCTCTACAATAAATCAAAAGTTAGCCGGGTGTGGTAGTGTGTGCCTGTAGTTCCAGCTACTTGGAATGCTGAAGCAGAAGGCTCGTCAGAGCCCAGCAGATGGAAGCTGTGGTGGCCAGGAGCGTGGCACTGCACTGCAGCCTGGGCGACAGAGTAAGACTCCGACTCAAAAAATAAATAACTAAAAATGAAGTGCACTATGCATACAAAAAAGATTAGAATGGTAAATTTTATGTTTATATTTTACCACAGTAAAAAAAAAAAATTCTGCACTTTAGAATTTACTACATTCTAGTAGCAACATTGATAACAGATTGGAGAAGATAAAGATGGCAGCTAGGACACCCACTGGAGATGAGGCACCAGCCAGTTAGAGGTTCCCAGGAGGTCCTGCACTGGCACCAGGAACAGGTTTCGGAAAGACAGGAGACTATGAGAGTTATTTATTATTATCATTATCATTATTATTTGAGTCGGAGCCTTCACTCTGTCACCCAGGCTGGAGTGCAGTGGTGCAGATCACAGCTCACCATATCCTGGAACTCCTGGGCTTAGGTGATCCTCCTATCTCAGACTCCAAGTAGCTGGGACTACAGGCGCCACCATACCCGGCTAATTTTTCTATTTTTTATAGAGATGGGGTCTTGCTATGGTGCCCAGGCTGGTCTTGAACTCTTGGGCTCAAGTGATCCTCCCACCTCAGTTTTCCAAAGCGCTGGGATTATGGATATGGGTCAAACATTTTTAATTACACATGGGGAGACGCCATAGCCTTCTCAGTGCTCTGGGACCCTAGAGGTCTTCATCCCTCACAGTTTACCTGAAAGCTATTTCAGATGTACAACCAAGAGGAATTGAACCCACTGAACACTAAGGTGGGTGGAGTCACAGATGATTAATACTTCAGATCACACGACAGTATATAAGAAAGGCTTCATATGAGGAGATTTGGTAGGAGTATGATTTATGTATATACACGAAGAAATATGAAATGAGTTGTAATTAAAGGACCATGACACAATCATTCACCTCTTCCTCTAGATCAGTGCAGTCAATTCTATTCTGAATTGTTTGCAGTAACAAAGTTCACTGTGGGCTTAGAGCAAAGTTCCAGATTTAGACAGCATCTGTCCTTTCTGTTCCTAAATTTCTTGACACCCAAGGCGCAAGCGAAAAATGGGTCAGATGGGTCTAGAGTCTTTTATGTTAGGAGGTGTAGCATACGTACACAAAATACACAAACATTTACATTTCCGAAATAATAGTGAACAACCATCTAAAATAAATCTTTACCAGCATCTGAGAAGTGCCCTGTGTCACTGTCCTCCTCCATCTTCCCTCAGGAGAATCACTTGGTTCTTTTTCTTTTTTTTTTGAGTCAAGGTTTCACTCTGTCACCAAGGCTAGAGTGCAGTGGCATGATCACAGTTCACTGCAGCCTCAGACTCCTGGGCTCAGGTGATCCTTCTGCCTCAGCCTCCCAAGTAGCTGAGACTACAGATGTGTGCCACCATGCCCAGCTAACTTTTTTGATTTTTGTAGAAATGAAGTCTCAGTGTTTTGCCCAGGGTGATCTCGAACTCTTGGGCTCAAGTAGTCTTTTCAGCCTCCCAACGTGCTGGGATTACAGGGTCAGCTACTGCATCTACCCACAATCTACAATTAAAACCTTATTTGGGCTGGGTGTCGTGGCTCATGCCTGTAATGCCAGTGCTTTGGGAGGCTGAGGCAGGAGGATTGCTTGAAGCGCAAACAGTCTTCCCGACTCAGCCTCCCAAACTGCTGGGATGACAGGCATAAGTCACTGTACCTGATCTCTTTTTATTTTAATTGAACAGAATCTTCCTATTAGTTGCACCCTACCAGCAGCAGCAGGAGCCGTGGCCACAACAGCTACCATGGTTCTTGCTGTGAGCTGGGCCTGCTCTGAATCCATGTGCTAATTCATGTGTCTCCCAGGAGCCCTGCAGGGAGGTAGCAGTGACACCCGCATGGTGCAGGTGAACGGACTCAGACAAGGAAGCTGAGGAACATGCCCAGGTGACACAGCTAGCAGTGGCAGGCCCAGGTCCACCCTGGAACTGGCTCTCCTCCCACCTGCTGCTTGACCCTCGCTGGAGAACTCCATTGATAAGGAAACCCCAACCCAGTCTCCTGCTCTCAGGACTCTGGACCCAACACCTACCCTGTCCTGGTGCTGTTAGCAGGGGTTACTCCTGGGCTTTTCCAGGTAGGCTGGCTCCAGCCTCTGAATGTGCGCAGGCAGTCTCCTGGCTCCCTGGGAGCAGGTCATTGAGAACATGCAGAGACGAAGCTTCCAGAATTCTATACTCACGCAAGCTGGGGAAGCAACCCCTTGCCAGATGCCACATCTTCCTGCATTCCATGGTGGGGTCACATCACCCTGTCTTTTGGTGCTACAATCTAGTTTTGAGATTGCCCCAAGAAAACTGATCAGCTTCCTTATGTATTTGTTTGTTTGTTTAAGTCAGAGTCTCACTAACTTACTTATTTGAGTTGGAGTATTGCTCTGTTGCCCTGGCTGGAGTGCAGTGGCATGATCGTGGCTCACCACAGCCTCAGCCTCCTAGGCTCAGGTGACCCTCCTACCTCAGCCTCCCATGTAGCTGGGACTGCCAGCTACTTGCCGGCAGGTGTGTGCCACCAGACTCAAGTCAATTTTTTTTTTGGTAGAGATGAAGTCTCCTGATGATGCCCAGGCTGGTCTTGACCTTCTTGACCTCCTGGGCTCGAGCAACCCTCCTGCCTCAGCTTCCCAAAGTGCTGGGATGACAGGTGTGAGCACCATGCCTGGCCCCATCTTTCATTCCGCAGCCTCTAAGGGAGCATCCACCAACTGGCTGTCTTCCTGCGTACATCCCCACCCCCGCCCCCACCATTCCCCACCTCATGCTCTGCTTAAAGTCCATCTGGAAGGGGCAGGGCACGGGGGCCCTGACCCCCGGGCTGGGCTCCAGTCACAAGCACTGACACACAGGGAAATCCCATTCCACATGGAGTTGCCCACCATTTATATTTTCCTAAAAGCCCCAAGGTAAACCTATCCAGGTGTTGACGTAGGACATCTCCTGTGTGTTCACAATAAGAAGGCGAAATGTAAGCACACGGACACATGACAATCTGAGCTATAACACTGGTTCTGTGGCATTTTACCTGTTCTGCAAATCTGCCATTTAAGTACATTGTTCTAGGGACAGGTTGATACAACTAAAAGTCAGGAGAAGTCACGGTATCTGTGTTTGCCATCAGACACTCACCCCAGAGGCAGCTTGGTGCTGCTGCCCTCTAACGGGCTCACTCTGCCCCTTAGAAGCCACCTCCGGAATGCCCTACAGGGGTGGATGTTATGCAGCTGCAGCAGGAATGCTGTGAAGATTAACCCTCCAAGCACAACAGCAGCAGCCATCGCGATCATGGTGTGTCCTGGGAAGGGCAGGGGGGCCTCATCAACGTAGATCTGCAACAGAGAAGCAGAGCCTTGCAGCTTCCTAGGCCCAAGAGTGTAAGACACATCACCGTGTGAGGCCCACAGTCCGTCGCCCAGCAAAGTCCTGCTTGGACAGTTGCATCTGTAGAGCTTAGAAGCAGCCCTCTCTTGATAACTTGCATACAGTAAATAAGGATCAAGAATTCCATTTGTTTATGTATATATTTTTAGAGACAGGTTCTTGCTCTGTAACCCAGGCTGGAGTACAGTGGTGCAACCATAGCTCACTGCAGTTTAAACCTCCTGGGCTCAAGGGATCCTCCTGCTTTAGCCTCCTGAGTAGCTAGGACTACAGGTGCACACCTCCATGCCCAGCTAGTTTAAATTGTTTTTTGTAGAGACAAGGTCTCAGTATGTTGCCCACGTTAGTCTTGAACTCCTGGGCTCAAGCAATTCTTCCACCTCAGCCTCCCAAAGTGCTGGGATGACAGGTATGAGCCACCGCACTTGGCAAGGATTCAATTTCTTATCCTCTGCCTCCACTCTATCCTTCATGGCAGAGGGAGGAAGAGGGAGCACTGACACTGCTATCTCTGGGCCCATCTCTTAGCCTCGCCTGTCTCTAAGCCTCATCCATCACACACATTCTACCTGCTTTTTCTCTTCAGTGTCTCTTGGACTGGGATTTGTCATGGCATCCCCCAGACCACCCCCCCAGTCTGATACCTTGTCATCCACCATACCTGAAATTCTTCAACCAAGTTGCAAAAAGTAACGCCTGGAACAACAGTCACTCTAAAATGGAAAAGCTCCGAACCCTGTAGGGGAAATCACAGCAGTCTCAGCAGTGCCAGCATGTCTGTTCCTTTGCGCAGTAGTCACCCAGAACCTCTTCACCTTGATTCTGTGGAAGAAGGTTCCCACCCCCGAGGCTCTGTTGCACATACCACACATCGAGATTGCAAGAGGTGCTGAAACAGGCATTCCTTAGGATGAGGAAACAAAACCAAAACCTAACTTGGCCTTGGTAAGTGCTTTGGGATGGTCTCCAGCTTGTGATCTGCTATGTCTGTTTCTGGTTGTTTTCCACGATCACCTGGATGATGCCAACCTCATGTACTCATGTGGTAGCTAGAACTGGGAGATAGACATCTGTGCATTCTGGGTGAGGAACACTGAGCCTGTTTCTGCCCTCTGACTTTTAGAAGCAGCCTCTGCTCCAGAGTATCTATCTTGGCTAGCTACTCTGTCTTGCCTGTCAGCCTGACAAAATAGTAGCTTAATGTTCAGTTCAGCTCCAGAAATCACAGATTCAGGGGAAATAGAAAGGAGACACACCTGCTCCAGGTACTGAAAGCTGCTGTTCCCACCCTTCATGGATGCCTGTGCTTTACAGCACAACCCGGTCTCAGCTGAGACACATATGTTTATTTAAACTCAACACAGTAAGAACAAACATTCTGTCAACTTACCGTGACACTTAAGTTGAGACCTGAAGGGTTATACACAGGAACCTGAAGAATCAGTTCTAAGTAGTTTTTCAATTTTTTAACATTTTCTGGTACAGTGTGTTCTAAAAATACACAGAACATATTTTAAGCACATTTATGCCATTTTCTCATTTTGCAAAGATTTGTTACATACCTTAAGGTATGATGAAAGAATAAATGGTTCACCCCATGATGTGACTAAATAATTTCATGCAGTTAGTTCTTTTCTTTGTAGGAAATATATTCGGGGGAAATTGGGCCCAATATCTCGGTTGCTTTCAAGGGTGCTCTCTGGAAACACATGACTCCAACCCCCTGACCTCGAGCTAATTTCTTTTCGGCTCCATGCACTTGGCCAGTTCTGACTAGCACATGCTTTGTGGTTTTGGCAGTAGGATCATCTCAGGACCTCCTAAGTGGTGGGACAATGATTTTCAACAAGGTGGCAGTACACTGTGCATGGTGGCTCATGCCTATAATCCCAGCACTTTGGGAGGCTGAAGCAAGAAAATTGCTTGAAGCCAGGGGTTCCAGACCATCCTGGGCAACATGGCGAGACCCCATGTCTTTAAAAAAAAAAATTAGCTGAGCGTGGCGGCACATACCTGTAGTCCCAGCTACTCAGGAGGCTGAGGTGGGAGGATCCCTTGAGCCCAGGAGATCAAGGCTGCAGTGAGCTATGATCACATCACTGTACTCCAGCCTAGGTGACAGCGAGACTCTTAATTTTTAAAAAATGGCAGCAAAGATTTACAATAAGATAACTGAAATCTTTTCCAAAGAAGTGATTGGTTATTCCTGTCCTTGTCATCCTTTCTAAACCTAGACAGGTGACATCAGGGAGTGCAGGAATCAGAAGCTCCAGGGACAGATGGTCCACGGGATCTAGGGCAAACCTAGGACTATAGCATCTGCCAGCATCCACAGTGTGAATACTCTTCCCATAGCTGATCTCGGGCTGGCAGGGGTCTAGCAGCCAGCTTGTCAGCTGCATCGTACTAGACAGTTAGTTCTGAGTCTTGGAGAGTAGCCCCAGAACACCTCAGAGAAGGGGGCATCAGTGACACAAAGCACGCAGTGTCTGCTTCACTGGATTCTTCCTTTCAAACATGCATAGATGTTGCCAGTATAAGACTCACTGAAAACCAAGTATCTGGATATTGAGTAACATGTTAATGGCTGACCAAAAGTTCTGTTCAGTTAGTTCTTTCTGATGGTGTAGCTATCATCTATCTTTCATTATCTATCATCTGTCTGTCTATTACCTCTCTATCATTTATGATCTATCATCCATCCATCTATCTATCTGCCTACCTACCTATCACCTCAAAATATTCATATGTGCACAAACACAAAATGTGCTAGCAAACATTATATATTTGAGGTAAAACTGAATTGAGGTAACTACCTTATTTAAACGTATTCCTGCATATCTCCATTATTTCACCATAAAAATTTCCAAAACCTTACTAACTGAATTAGAAGACAAATCCCAAAGCTTATCTGGCAGCACCTTCTCTGTAACAGCAGTGAAAGAAGATGCTAGACCACATGGGGCACAGACTCCGTTAATCACTTTCTACTCAACCACGGAATGGCCTTCAAAGCGCAGCCTCGACCTGCTGGGCTCAGGTGATCCTTCCGCCTCAGACTTCCAAGTAGCCAGAACTACAGGTGTGCGCCACCACGCCTGGCTAATTTTTTTTGTTTATTATAGAGATGAGATCTTACCAAGTTTCCCAGGCTGTTCTCAAACCCGTGGCCTCAGGTAATCCCCTCTTTGGCCTCCCAATGTGCTGGGATTACAGGCTTGAGCCACTGTGCCCACTGGCCTAATTTTTATTGTTATTTATTTATTTAGTAGAGATGAGGTCTTGCTATGTTACCCAGGCTGGTCTCAAACTCTTGGGCTCAAGTGATCCTCCTGCCTCAGCCTCCCAAACTGCTAGGATTAAAGGTGTGAGCCACCAAATTTTGCCCCAAAATGTTCTTCTGCTGGAAGTGATGATGAAGTAAGTGGAATATAAGAGCAGGAGAGACGGAGGGGGGGGCCGGAAGAGGAACAGCAGGGGGATGAGGGGAACAGTGGGGAAAATGGGGAATAGCAGGAGGAACAGAGGGGAACAGTGGGAGGGACAGTATGGGGAACAGAAGGGGGAAATGGGAGGGAACAGCAGGAGGAACAGGAGAGAGAATAGTGGGGGAATCGGAAGAGGAACAGTAGGGGGTAACAGTGGGAAGAACAGGAGGGGGAACAGCAGGGGAACAGGAGGAGGACCAGAAGAAGGAACAGCAGGGAAAACGGGAGCAAGAGGAGGAACAGCAGGAGGACAGGAGGAGGAACAGTAGGGGGAACAGCGGGAGGGGGTTGGGAAACAAGGGTAGGAACAGGAGGGGGAACAGCAGGAGAAACAGGAGCAGGAAGGGGGAGAACAGCAGGGGAGAACATCGGGGGTGGGGAACAGGAGGAGAAACAGCAAGGGGAACAGGAAGAGGAAGGAGTGGGGAATAGGAAGGGTAACAAAAGGGAGCAGTGGGAGCAACAGGGAGGGGGAATAGCAGCAGAACGGGGAACAGTGGGGGGAATAGGAAGGGGAGCAGCAGGAGGGGGAACAGGAAGAGGAACAGTGGGAGGAAAGGGGGAACAGTGGGGGAAACAGGAGGGAGAACGGCAGAGGGAGGGAACAGAAAGAGGAGCAGCGGGAGAAAAAGGAGGAGGAACAGCAGGGGGAACAGGAAGGAGGATCTGTGGGGGGGAACAACAGGAGGATCAGCACGGATAACAGTGGGAGGATCGGTGGGGGGGGTCAGTGGGGCATCAGCAGGAGGATCAGTGAGGGAATCAGTGTGGGGGTGTTTGGCAGGGAGAACAGCGGCTGAGGGGCGTCAGTGGAGGGGGGGATCAGCAGGGAGAACAGGGAGGAGGCAGCTGGAGGAATGGGAGGAACAGTAGTGGGAACAGAAGGGAGAACAGTGGGGGAACGGGGTGATCTGTGGGGAAAAACAGTGGGGAGACCAGCAGGGGGAATCTGTGGGGCAATCAGTGGGGGGATCAGTGGGGGATCAGCAGGTGCCAAGGAACTCAAGTCTTTTTCAGATGACTCCTGGCTGTGTCTTGTGCAAACAGGCTTTGTAGCCACTGACCCTTGTGCTCCAGTAACAACAGCTCACTTATAAGATGAAATAATTACACACAGAAGCGAGCCCTACTTAGTTTCCAGTTCTGTCGCATGTTCACCTCGGTCACAGTGACCAGATATGGAGATTTCACTGGGACACGTCCATCTTCATTGGAAATTTCCAAGGACACGGGGTACTGTGTAACCGGAAACTTGAATCGCGGAACCTAGGACACAGATCCCAAGAAGGGACACACGTTTAGAAAGTCCCTGGTGCCTCATTTCAGGGCACAGCATGGACAGAGATACCCCAGCAGCTGGGCTGTGGAACAAGACGTACTGCTGGGGGTTTCTGCCTCTTCAAGTGTGAAGAGTCTGTCTTCCAACAGAGTTGGCGTGACCTCAAAAGGCAAGACCCGTGCACAACAAAACCCATGGCCTACCAGAGGCCTCTCCACAGGGACTGACTGTGCTGTCCTCTAAACCCGTTGGGCTACCCGGCATCCTCGGAGGCCACAGGAATCTCCTGGGCTCTGTCTACACTTCCAGCCAGCCAGTCTTCCAGGCACAGTCTGTAGACTCAATGAGCTAAGTCCAGCCCCAATACATTTGACGGTGTGGACCTTGGCAAATGGTCTGACTTCTCAGCAGCTTGAACTGAATGAGCCAAATCACAGAGAAGGCTCTGGCAGTGTCCAGTAGGTAGTACATACTCAAGAAACGGTATCTTAATTCAACATGGTGCATATAGCAACCACCTTCATAAGGTACTGAATGCTGACTATGCCCCACATACACTACACACATGACTATTATGTGTAGGGTCTATACATGCGAGTCCATACATATCTCGTATGCTTTATATATGTAGTCTTGTATATGTATCATCTCTTTTCTACAGTGTTGCAAGGACTTTGAAGTAGATCTGCTTGGAAATTACATCAACTGCACATTTGACTCTGCTGATGAAAATACTAGCTTTAACTTGATATATCTTCAAATGCTTGGATACTAACAGAATGAAATATTATCTGACACAGAGTGCATTCGCCTAACCAACATAAGACACTAACTTTCACTTGTCACTACCATGGACTGAGCTTCTTGAGTGCAACGACTTTGCCTTCTATATTTTAAGAACCTGATACATATTAAACACTCAACAATTTTTTTTAAGACAGTCTCACTCTGTCACCCAGGCTGGAGTGCAGTGGTACAATCATCCTCACTGCAACCTCCAACCCCTGAGCTCAGGCAATCCTTCTGCCTCAGCCCCTGAATAACTGGGACTACAGGTGTACACTACCATGCCTGGCTAAGTTTTGTATCTTTTTGTAAAGACGCAGTCTTGCAATGTTGCTCAGGTCTCAAACTCCTGGGCTCCCGCCTCAGCATCCCAAAGTGCAGGGATTACAGGCATGAGCCACTGCACCTAGCCCAATACATGACATTTTTTGAATGAATCAATATTTACCATAGTCTGGCATAGTGCTTTACAAATTAGATTGCTTTCACATAGACAGGTGCGCGCTTGTGTGTCTTTATAAGAATCCTGTGAAATGGACAGGGCAGTGCAGATATTGATACTCTGTTTTACAGGTGAGGATTGTTCAATGGTCTAGGGACATTTAAGTCCAGATATTTCTAGCTTTCTGTCATATTTATTCTACATCACAATAAGACATTATTTCTATGTCTCAGTTTTCGTGTCTAACCAAAAAACACATTTCAAAATCTTGCTAATGTGAAAGTGTTGTCTTTAAGTAATTAAAAATTATCTTACTTTTTCTCTGCAATCCGAGAAAGCAACAGCATGTGAAAACTTCTGGTCATTTGTGCAGTTACACTCCTCCCGAGTAGAAGCATTTGCACACTGTTTGAATTTACCAGCTTTCTGCAAATAAGTAACAGAAGTTGATTTGCTTTTCTGTGTTGTTATCTCTACAAACTGAGTAAATGCTCAATAAATATTTGTTCCCTGAATAAGCAATATTCCTGAGAAGTTAAAAGAGGAAAACAATTCATTAATGATAAAGTAAAAGTTGGGCATGCTCACGCCTGTAATCCTAACACTTTGGGAGGCCAAGGTGGGAGGATTGCTTGAGCCCAGAAGTTTGAGACCAGGCTAGGCAACACAGCAAGACCTCGTCTCTAAAAAAAAATCAAAAAAAAAAAAATCAAAAAGCTGAGCACAGTGGCGCATACCTGTAGTCCCAGCTACCCAGCTACTCAGGAGGTCAAGGCTGCAGTGAGCCATGATTGCACAGCAGCACTCCAACCTGGGTAACAGAAGGAGACCCTGACTCAGAATAATAATAATAAAGGAAGAGTCCAAGAACAGTATTTCTGAATTTCTGTTATCTCCTTGCTTGGTCCTTTGAACCAGCTGCCCGCTAGTTAACCTCAGTGTGAGTGTGTGGGCCAGAACTCCCAGGGTCATGCTGAGTCTCCACATCAGGACCACAAACCAGCACCCTGGTCCTCCCATTGCCAGCATCCACATGGCGAGCTGAAAGAGCAAACCTGATCATGTGGCTGCAGAGCCCCAGGCACGCTCCCCCAGTCCGCATTTCACGCCTGCCTTTTGTCAATGCCTTCCTTAATGACATCGAAAATCTCCACATCTGCTTGCTTGTCGTTCATTTTTACTTGATCACTCTTGCTAGGTATTGGTTTATTATTGTTTTTTTTTTTAAAGAATTGGCTTTTGAGTTGACAATCAACTTTACTTTTAAATGTAATATCCTTCAGTTTTTTTTAGGGTCACCATTTCCCTCCTAGCTTCTTCTTTTCTTATTTTGATTGAGATAAAACTTACTCTTTTCATCATTTTAGAATGGGTTTTAGTATATTCACAGTGTCAGTTAACCATCATCACTATCTAATTCCAGAACATTTTTGTCACCCAGCAAGGAAGTCTACACCCATGAGAGTCACTCCCCACTCCCCGCCCTGCCCCTGGTCCCAGCCCCTGGCAACTACTCATTTATCTCTGTGAATCTGCCTGTTCTAGACATTTCATTATAGACGGACCTATGTGGCCTTTTGGGTCTGGCTTCTTTGACCTAGCATGTTGTTTACCCTTTTGCTGTTGAGTTGTATGAATAGTTTATATAGTCTGGACACTAAACACATGCATGTTATAGCTTGTGCCAGTACCTTTTTCCTTTTCATGGCTGAATGTTCCATTGAATTGACATAGTGTGTTTTGTTTATTCATTCATCAGTTAATAAACATTCTATCATGTCCTCTTTTGGTTGCTATGAATAATGCTGCCATGAAGCTTTTGCTTGGATGTATGTTTTTGATTCTCTTGGCTAGGTCCAGGAGTAGAATGGTGAGATGATATAGTCATCTATGTTTCACTCTTGAAGAATTGCCAAACTTGCCCACAACAGCTGCACCATTTTGCATTCCTACCAGCAATGAATGAGGGTTCCAGTTTCTCCACCTTATCAACAACACTTAGTTTCATCAAAAATATTATTATAGTTACCCTGGTGCCTGTGAAGTAGTATCTCTTTGTGGTTTTTGATTCACATTTCTCTGACAACTAATACAACAGATATTTTTCATGGGTCTGTTGGTCATTTGTGTATCTTCTTTGAAGAAATGTCTATTCCAGACCTTCACCATTTCTTTCTCTTTTTTTTTGAGTTGGAGTCTCACTCTGTTGCCCAGACTGGAATGCAGTGGCCGCTCCCAGCCACCGCAGCTTCGACCTGCTGGGCTCCGGCAATCCTTCCGCCTCAGCCTTTCGAGTAGCTGGAACTACAGGCGCATGCTACCACGCCCAGCTAGTTTTTTTTTCATTTATTGTAGAGATAAGGCCTCGCCAAGTTGCCCAGGTGGATCTCGAACCCGCGGGGTCAGGCAATCCATTCACCTCGGCCTCCCAAAGTGCTGGGATTGATTACAGGCTGAGCCACCAAGCCCAGCATCTTCACCACTTCTAACTGGGCAATTTACCTTTTTGCTGTTGAGTTGAATGAATAGTTTATATAGTCTGGACATTAAACACTTAGATATATGCTTTGCAAACATTTTCTCCTGTTCTGTGGGCTGTCATGCACAAAAGTTTTTAATTTTGATGAGATCAAATTTATCTATTTTCTCTGTTGCTCGTGTTTTCAGTGTCATATTTGACAAAACATTGCCTAATCCACGGTGATGAAGATTTACACCTGTATTTCCTTATAGGAGTTTTATAGTTTTAGCTCTTACATTTAGGTATTTGATTCATTTTATATATGGTGTGAGATAGGGGTCCAAATTCATTCTCTTTCATGTGGATATCCAGTTGTGTCACAATCATTTGTTGAAAAGCTCATTTTTTTCCCCACTGAATGGTCTTGGTACACTTGTCAAAACTTAATTGCTTTATTTCTGGACTTTCAATGTTATCTTGTTTAAACATAAATCTATATGATCCATAGATCTATCTATCTATCTATCTATCTATCTTTCTTTCTTATGCCAGTGCGACACTGTAGTTTTGCAGTAATTTTTGAAATTGGGAAGCATGAATCTTACAACTTTTCTTTTTCGAGATTGTTTTAGCTATTCAGGGTTCCTTCAGTTCCATTTGAATTTTAAGATCAGTTTTTACATTTCTGCAAAAAAAGCAGTTGGAATCTTAGTAGGGAGTGTATTCAGTCTATAGATCAATTGGGGGAGTACTGCTGTTCTAACACTATTGTGTCTTCCAATCCATGAACACAGAATCTTTCCATTTACTTAGGCCTCCTTTAATTTCTTTCAGCAAATTCTGCAGCTTTAAGTGTCTAAGTCCTGCCTTTTCTGAGTCATTTGAAGTGATCATGCGAATTTCCCCCTTTATTCTCTTATTGTGGTATATCACATTGATAAATTTTCTCATGTTGGGCCACCCTTGCATTCCTGATTGCAGACAGGATTTGATCATTGTGTATAATCTTTTTAATATACTGTCGACTTTGATTTGCTGGTATTTCATTGTGAAGTTTTGCATCTATATTCATAACGAATGTTGGTCTGTAATTTTCTTTTCTTGTGCTGCCTTTATCTGGCTTTAGTATCAGATCTAATAGAATGAGTTAGAAAGTGTTCCCTCCTCTTCTATTTTTGGAAGAGTTTGAGAAGGATTAGTCTTAATTCTTCTTTAAATATTTGGAAGAATTCACTAGTGAAGCCATCTGTTGTTTCTGGGCTTTTCTTTGTTTGGAGGTTTTTGATTACTGATTCAATGTCTTTATTGTCTTAGGCCTATTGAGAGTTTCTATTTCATCTTGAGTCAGCTAGGTAATTTCTGTATTTCCATACATTTGTTCATCTAAGTTATTTAGTATTTAGTATATGACTGCATTTAGTATGTTGGCATATGACTGTTCATAGTGCAAGCATACTTCAGGGATATTGTGGGTTTGGTTCCAGACCACTGCAACATAGTGAATATTGTGATAAAGCAATCACACACATTTTTTTGTTTCATGGTACACATAAAATATATGTTTACACTAGACTGTAGTCTATTAAGTATGCAACAGCACTATATCTAAAAGATGTACATACCATAATTAAAAATACTTTATGGCTAAAAAATGATAATAATCTTCTGAGCCTTCAGCAAGCTGTTCAGGAAAAAAACAACAACATTCCTTTCAAGATATTACTGCTCATTCACAATGCACCTGGGGGGCAGTCTTGCCTTGATATCAATGGCTGCTGACTGACCAGGGTGGGGAGTGCTGATGACTGCGGAGGCAACATGACATGGCACACCTCATGACTCTCTCCATTTCGTGACATTTTCCTGTAGCAGGCCATGCTGTTTGATGGCATTTTACCTAGAGTAGAACTTCTTTCAAGACTGCAGTCAGTCTTCTTGGACCCTGCTGCTGCTTTGTCAATGACGTTATAGAACATTCTAAATCCTTTGTTGGCATTTCAACAATGTTCACAGCATCTTCGTCAGGATTTTAGCTCAAGAAACCACTTTTTTGGCTCATCCATAAGAAGCAATTCCTCATTCATTCAAGTTTGCTCATGAGATTGCAGCAATTCAGTCACATCTTCTGGATTCCCTTCTTTTTTTTTTTTTTAAGAATTTACTTACAGACATGAATAGACACTTCTCAAAAGAAGATATACGGGCAGCCAACAGACACATGAAAAAGTGCTCAGCCTTACTCATCATCAGAGAAATGCAAATCAAAACCACACTGAGATACCACCTAAGCCCTGTAAGAATGGCCATCATTAATAAAGCAAACAACAACAGATGCTGGCGAGGATGTGGAGAAAAAGGAACGTTTCTACACTGCTGGTGGGAATGCAAACTGGTGCAGCCCCTTTGGAAGACAGTGTGGCGATTCCTGAAAGAACTAGAAATTAACCTTCCATATGACTTAGCAATTCCTCTATTAGGAATATACCCAGAGGAACTCAAATCATTCTACCAAAAAGACACTTGCACACGTATTTTTGTTGCAGCTCTATATAGCAAAAACATGGAACCAACCGTGTTGCCCATCGAAGCTGGACTGGATTTAAAAAAATGTGGTACATATTCACGATGGAATATTATGCAGCCATAAAGAAGGACCAATATATGGACTTTGCAACAACTTGCATGGATTTGGAGTCGATCATACTCAGCAATTTATCACAGAAACAAAGAACAGAGTTCCATATGTTTTCACTCATAAGCGGATCTTGAACAATTATAATGCTATAAGAAAGCAATTGGCAGTAGTGGGAAACTGTCAGGGGAGCGGGGGTGGGATTGGCCGTTGAGAGAAACTGCTAGGGGAGGGAGGGGCATACCTCATCAACAAGAGTATCTGCATGATCAATGTTTGTATACCTAAACCTGAAATGGACCCCACATCTTTATAATTAAAATTAAAATAAAA